AGAAAAAGTGAAAGAGGTTAAGTGGGGCTGACCTGCCCTCCCTGCCGCAGCTGCTCTTCAGATACCCGAGATCAGAGCTCCCTCCTCTGAGCTCCGTCCAGCACGGCACCTGAAAGCCGTGTGTGCTCACAGAGTGGGGTAACGGGGGCTTTCGCCGTGGTTTGTTTTAAAGGGAAAAAAAATATATTGTGCTGTTTACACATAGCTAACTAGAAGGTTTGTATGTTAACTCTAGGTGCTTGTTTTGCTTGTTTGAGGAGCATCGGGGAGAAGAAGATCTGAACTTTATGTCAGCAAGGCACTGATGCTGACACTTGTGGAATAATAGCATTTCCATCGTTTCAGTCATTCAAAAAGATCCAGAGGGTTTCTGGAAGCTTGGTTATCTCAGGAAAAAAAATTTTCAATTTATTAGTAAGATTTTGAAGTTTTTCTTAAATTTCCTCGTTTAGCTAAGAGGCTTAGCAGGTCAGCGTGAATGTCACTGGAAGCTCTGGGCAGAACAGTAACTTCAGAAACGTATTTGGTCACAGCTCTGTGATACGTACCAAGTAACGAAAAGATGAGGAACCCAGAATTGATTTCATTAGTAATTAATTTAGATGATCATCTTTGGGAAATAGCTGTAAGTACAGGTTTCATTCTGTTCCCGCTGTATCTCATTTTTTCTCTTTATTTTCCTCCCCAAGAAAGTGCTGCTGTGCTGGGGTAGAAAACCCGGGCTAGGCTGGCCACGGCTGCAGCATTAATTACTCAGATAAAGCTCCAGCTGGGACCAGCAGGAGGAACAGCCATGATCATCACCCGCACCGATAGTGTCCATGGGTCAGGGAAATGAAGCTGGAGGACATTGTTGTGCATATTTTGCATCCATTCGGTTGCACAATATAATTTGGAGGCAGCTTTCACCGGTATTATCCGTTCTCCCTGCTAACCGCTGCAGGTGGTTTGTTGAGCCTGCAAGCTGCTCCTCACCTCTGCCACTGCAACAAGGTCCGAGAACGAGCACGAATAGCCCCCCCACTGTTTGCAGGGGTTTTCTCAGGTGTCTCCGTGTCTCTGCCTTTCATCCATACGCATTTGTCAGTCCATGGTCACACTATTGCATCATCGTCGCATCCATTGAGGTACCACAGGACAGCATCTCGCTGGGGTTTGGCAGGGGGTGCTTTTAGCACCTTCTCAGTGGAGAGGCTGTTCCAGCGTAAGGGCACCGCTGAATCCCCAGCAGCAGGTAGTTCAAGTCAAGGTCAAACGAGGTTTTTATTTTTAATTACAGTGAAAAGGTGCACGATAGATAAGAGATCTCTGAGTGACACTGTTAGTCACCAGCTAGTACGAACTATGATTCATTTTCCCTTTGCCAAGCTGACTTCACATTTTTGCTGGAAAGCTGGAAAGGCTGTGTTAGAGCTGACACGTAGAGTGTCGGCAGAAAATGAGAAACTGAATGGAGACGCAAATAACGTGGAGTGGTGCAGCTACGCACGTTACGTACTCCCTGTTTTCCTAAGAGTCTGAGTTTTAAAACTTAAATAAAAAGAGGAAACTGGAAAGATAATGACAATTACCTGCTTAAACAGTCTGCAAAATACCTATTGCAGAGGAAGTGTCTGAAATAAAGGAACTGTTTTCTTTCTTACAGTTTCCATGGTCCTGAGAAAGATGGATGCAAGAGTCATGAATATAAAGGCAATGACGTGATAGGACGGGCATGTTGTCAGGATACTGAGGAGCTGACTCCTCAAACCGCTATTCCTATCCCAAGAAGTGGAAGCAAGGAAGATGCTCGGGTGGAGGAGGAGCACAGAACTACACCTCTGAATGGCGATGCTTTAATGACGTGTCCGCAGCAGCAGGCTGCCCCTCCTCAGGAGCACGTATCGGACTGCCGTAGAGCATCTGCTCAGCCTCACCAAGGAGACAAAAATACAGCCAGAGGTTTGGCTGCAGAGGTCACATCCGTGCACAATGGCCAAGACGATGCTCTCCCCCAGAGAGAGACGGATGTGGCCAAAAGGAGACTGCAGTCTCCTGAAGACCAGCGATACCAAGAGCTTGCTATGGAGATCGTTGCCAAAGACAGTTCTCTGGTTGACATTCTCATGCCTCATCCTGTTAGAAAAACTGCTCTAGACCTGATGGAGGGTCTGTTTCCTGTTAACATTTCCGTGCTGGGTAAATCCCCGAGGAAAAAGGGAGACATGCCACACGTGCAGGAGAATGAGTAAGCAGACAAACCCAATTATTTAGTATTTTAAGCTGTTTTAGGGTATGAATATCATGTATGTACTAGCAGTAAGATGACTCGAGCATTTTTTTTTAATCAGCAAAATATTGTCGCTTTCTGGTTTACATGTCAAGGAATATCTGAGGCTAGGGGTGTACAAAGGAAGAAATGTGGTTCAGTGGTAGCTTATTAAAAGGGATTGTGGCAGACTTGGGCTGCAAACCTTTTGCTCTATATCTTTTAAAAAATTAGAAAAGAATTGCTGCTGTGAGAAGAGAGGAGAGTGCTTCTGAAATGAAGATGTATAAAAACACAAACACAATGTTTGTGAGCAAAACTCTGAAGTGTTTGCCACAGGTATTTATCTTCTGTTCCAATAGCAGGAAAAGTAGCAAAGCTGCAGCAGAAGAACGTCCTGAACACGACGCCAAGCAAAGGAGCGGAGGTCCTACCTCTAAGGGAAACCAAGTCCTGACCAGGAGCAGGGACCGCGCAAGTGCCCTAGATGACATCACGGCTAAGAAAGTACGTAGATGAGCATCAGAGGAACCGCTGTTTCTTCATCACAACAAAGAAATTATGATTAATGTCACGTATGTTACTGTGGATATTTTCATTAATTACTTTTATCCCAATAATAATGTTTCATAGATAACTTTGAATCTGTTTTTGCCAGTAGGGGAAGTCCTGGCAAACTGGTGTATTGGTCATAAGTGGTGGCATTTCAACCCTGCCTGGATTGATTCTGGTCTCTCCTCCCACCTTCAGCAGGTCACTGGGGTGGGTCGTGCCTGGGATAACCACGCAGGGTTGGGTACACGTTTCCTTGCAAGGCCAGCTCCCGTGCAGCAACTGACTCACAATTCAACACTCAAATCTGCTCTCAGAGTCTATAAAATGTGTTACAACTGGCAGCCTAAATAAGAAATATTTTTTACTCAGAGAGAACAGGCAGCAGTTCCTGTACCCTGCAGTGCCCTGTTAATTGCCGTACGTGCAGGGAATAGAGGTGGCTTGGACGCGGCTGGACTGCGACAGAAACCGGCAGCTTGGAAGGGCAGTATGTAGAATTAGATGGTTTTTCCCTGTAGCAACCTGGCCATGCTCCATCTCAGGTAATGACCATCTGCCTTCCTGAAACAACTCCTGCTGTGCGCATGGTGATATCTGTCCTTACCCACTGGCTGATTTCCAAAAAAAAAAAAACTGTTAGGGTTCTTCTGCTCCGGGCTCGGGGCCCTTTCCCACACCAACGTTTCTCTATCAACCAGCCGCCTCCGCTTCCCTCGCTACCCAGGGCTCGCCGGAACCACCCGTGGAACTGACTTTTTCTGTGTGTATTATAAATGAAATTCCAGGCGGTTCTGCTGAAGCTTGGTAATAGAGCTGTAACTTGATGCTCATGTCTTAGAGCATAACCGTGCGTAATCACGTTGTAATCTTTATTGCCGTTCACTTCTGGCTGATCGGCAGCTCTCTGAGCTGGGGATTATATCACCAGTTAAGGCGATTACCAGTAATTTGCTTTTCAGAGTTTGAGAATTAAGCTTAGAAAATCTTTCTCTTTTTTTTTTCTTTCCCAGAGCTTAAAATTATTTTAAAAGTCCAAAATTTGGCGAAGATGATGTGAGGAAAAGCCATTCTCTAGAAATGAGACGGATTCTCTTTGGCAATAACAGCTTTCTGGGATTTTTTTTTTTTCCTTTTTTTCCCTTTACAGCTGGAACTCATCTCCAGCCTCCAGTCCAAGCTGCAGAGCCTGTGGGAGGAAAGGGAGCTCGTCCTCTCCGAAGCCAGGGAGTGCGCCGAGCGAGGCGAGGAGCTGGAGGCAACGGTGCGGGACGTCTGCAAGCCCAACGAGTTTGAGCGCTACATGATGTTCATCGGAGACCTGGAGAAGGTGGTGAGCCTCCTGCTCTGCCTGTCCAGCCGCCTCGCTCGAGTCCAGAACGCCATGAGGAGGGTCGATGGCAACACGGATGCTGAGGAGAAGGTGAGTGAGCAGCGAGCAGGGGATCTCATTTGCTTTGCTCGCTTCTTTCCAGGTGCGGCTGTGCTCATTTCATCTGGCTGACGGCAGGTTTTGAATTATCCATGCACCCAGCCCGCCGCTGCCCAGGCAGATGGTGCCACGCCACGGGCTGGGTCCCCACGGCCGAAGCAGAGCGGGGGTCTGGTGTGGACCCCAGGGTCAGTGCTGGAGGAGGAACGTGCAGCGTGAGCTCTGCAGCGGGGTGCGGAGGTGGTGGCAGCAGCAAAGCCTGGGGAAGGTCCGAGCCACAGCGGTGGCCTCCGAGCCCTCGGGCTGCTCCCGCTGGAGTAGCGCCAGGTTTCTCCTTCAGAAACTTCTGTTGGTGTTTTGTTTTTCATTTGTGGGTGGGGTTTTTTTGTTGGTTTGTTTGTTTTTCCCCACTGGTAATTTCAGTGCGGTAATTACTTACTTTGAAACCATATTTCACTTGATGGGCTTGTCCTGACTACAGGGAGAAGATGTGGGGGGTAACTTGAGATCAAGCTCCCCGTAGGTTAACTCAACAGCCAGTTTTCCTGGAAAACTAGGAATTGACTCGTGTCACCAGGAAATCTTTTCAAGTCTGAAATACCATTTTTTCTTCTAGAGAAGACAAGCCAGATTTATCCCAGGAATGCTGCTTTCCTGCTGTCCTTGTTGCTTTTAGATGTGTTTTTAGCAATACAGTACCTGCTGGTATCTCTTCTTTGGAAATTAGAAAAGCGCAGAGTTAGGAAAGCTGGGATTCCCTGGAGCTGTGCTGCTGCCGACCCACAGAGGTTTATCGTAGCTTTACATACAGAAGGGCACTGAAAGAGTCCTGCCATGCAGTGTGATATGGAGAGTCAGGATCTACCCGTTCCAAAATGTCAGTCCTGTTAACATTAATCATTCTGAGCAGATTTCACGCTGACTTTGGCTTTGTGGCTGGCGGGGGGGCTGCTGTTTCTTTTGTGTCATGTTTACGCTTTTCATAGTGAATAAATTAAAATAATTTATTCAATAATTTGAATAACATGTTCAATAAAGACTTGGTGACTCGACAACATTTTTACAACCATCTCCCAGTTGCTGCAGTCGCCCCGATGTCAGCAAAGCCAGCAGCCTCGATCTCTGACTCCGTTTTCAGGGTGCTGATGCTGATGGTGGCCGTTGCTCTGTGCTACGTTTATGGACACGGTCCTGAAACTGGATGTCTTCCAGCAGTGCCACCCCTGTGCAAATCACTGCAGCTGAAAGAGGATCAGCTAAAATGGGAAAGGTGTTAAAATCCTGTAGAACAGGCAAGGCTTGCTTCTCGTGGGTTTGTTCAAAAGAAGCCTTTGATGAACAGCTCCTTGTCGCATGTGCCTTAGTAGAAGTCACACTCTCTTCTTAATGTGCCCTTGGCACTCTGGCCACGCGCAACTCGTAAAATACAGAGCTGTGTGCCCTGAAGAGTGTCTAATTGAATGAAGACAGATCCAGGATACTCTAAAATTACCAGAATGTTAAGTATATTGATTTTTTTTTGTTTTAACCTGAGGGCAACATGGAAGAAGTGAGCTTTGATGGGTTTTTCTGGGTGTATTTACCTTACAAGCCACAAGAATGAGTAATTGAATCGAGAAAAAACTCGTGTGGAACACAAAGCCCACAAGAGGAAGTAATTAAACTAAATCGGCTGTGGCTTCCAAATGAAGATCTAGAGCCTGCCAGGAATGATGAGTTTTCATAGTGTGCTGCTTTGTTTTTCTGTCCTATTAGCAATCGCTGAACGAACGGCACAAGCTCTTGTCCAGACAGCGGGAAGATGCGAAAGACCTGAAAGAGAATCTAGATCGTAGGGAGAGAGTGGTCTCGGGCATCCTCGCCAAATACCTGACGGACCAGCAGCTCCAGGAGTACCGACGCTTTGTGCAAGTCAAGACCTCCTTGCTGATTGAACAGAAGGACCTGGAGGAGCAGATTAGATTTTTTGAAGAACAATTAGAAAATCTTGAGAAAAGCCTCCCCCTGTAACACCCGCCAACAGACCGGCCGTTGTCACACATCGACATTGGTGACGTTCCCCTGGAAATCCCCACGCGCTCGGTTTGGTGAATCCCTGCAATCCTGTTAGTGCCACAGAACTGACAAGTGCTGGGATGCTCTGGGGATGCTCTGGGCACACGCTGGATGTGCCTTCCCCTTTGGCCAGGCCAACGGGCAGCATCCTACAGCACGCAGCAGACGGCATTCTGGAAACGACTGATAGGATGTGTTGCTCCTATTAACTTGGCATGTATTTCCCCTTCCTGTTGTCTGTCCATCTGTTTCCAGATTGACATAATCTCAATAAAAGAACGATACAAATATTTTCCTCTTGTGGGTGGGCTGAGTGTTTGAAATGAAAAATGATGTGGGTGTTCAGATTTGAATTGGGGATTGCACAAAGCCATAGGAGGTGCTAGGGACCCTTTCAGTCAAACTCCTGCTCTGGTTTCTGCTGGTTATGTGTGTGACACAGTAAAAATATACTGTCATGGAAGAAAAGCATTATTATTTCCTTTCTTGGCAGTTGCCATCCGTGGGTCTTTCCTGGCTCTGCACAATCCCCTCAGGCTGCTCAGCAGTGGGTCTTAGGAGGGCAGAAAAAAGAGTGATCCTCGTGGGCATCAAAAAGACCTGCTCAGGGGTGGAGGCAGCGCAGATGAACACTTCTGGGAATGATAAACTCTGAGTTCATTCCTGCAAAGTCCTCACTATGCTTTCAAAGTGTTTATGTTTCAAGCAGCACCTCCAGGGGTTTGTTTTTAGGCAGTTTTCCGTTGTCAGCGTGCACAAGAAGTGCAGAGCGTGGGGGGAAAGCTCTGCTGCAGAGTGAGGCGGGTGGGACGCGTGGAGGAGGTTATTCCCTTCCAGTGAGGCTTGAGAGAAATCCCTCGGCAGAAATCGTTTGAACTGATGTTGTGTGTTGAGTCAAACCAGTGATGATGCTGTATTTAAAATGTGAGTGCGTTTTGTTTTCTTTGCTTGTTTGTTTTTAAGTGTTCCGTGAGAGGAATATTCCATCCGAGCTCCATACCTAGACATGGATAAGGTGGCTGCTAATCCGAATCCGGCTTCTTCCCCAGGCAAAACAGCTGTTCCTTGTTCCATGACGGTAGGCTGTACGTGGAAATATTTCAGTCGTGGTGCGTGTCCTGCCTGCAGTAAGTATCACCACCACTGAGCAAAGCTGTCCTGTTCTGTATCAATCCACCTGGTTGGAAATAACTGTTTTCTAATGGAAACTAACTCTTGCCTTAAGGGAAAGAACGGGTCTGCCCTGCTTAGTTTCTCTGATCTTTTTGGTCTTTGTGCCATGGGCAGGATGATTGCTGCCCTGGCACCCACAGGTATGCTTCAAAGAGCAACAATAAATTTACTCTGTTTTCCAAGAGGTCACACGTCTGTGTTCCGCGTTCCTTTGTCAGAACTGTGAATTTCAGGCAAAGTGAAGCACGGACACAGCGATGACATGGAACCCCCTTTCCAAAGCACCTGCGGGTCTGGATTGTCAGGTGGGTCTTGATTTTGATACCGATCATTTGTTATCGATTTATTACCGGGGCCAAGCCTAAGGTCGATGGTGGCAGTTACACTGGATGTAAGTCACATGCAGCACTCCTGGCACACCCACAGACTAAGATGTGGGCTCTCAGAAGAGCAGTCTGATGTGCAAATGCAACGAATGATTTAATCTCATCCCATCTTAAGAGCATCCCAGGGTCCTTTTCGATAGCCAGGAGCAGCCCTGTGCACCTCTGGGACTCCTGGAAGTCTCTTTGGTTGCTCAGAATCGCAGCCTGCAGGAGAAAGGGATGCTCTCTGCTCTTAGGGACAGGCTTGTGTCTCTTTTCGGCAGCGTTGAGTGGCACTGGGGTGGGGTGGGCTGGCCCAGAACTCCCCCTGGAGAGGCCAGTGCTCTTCACTTCTGAGCTGCTGGAGAGAGGAGGCACGTGCATCTGCCAGGGGTTCTTTGTGTCTTCACATCCATTTACATTATTCACTTAAAATTCTTTCTACCAAGTAGAGTTTGTAAATCGAGCTTGTTTGTGGGGCTTGCAGGACACTGTCCCCATGAGCGAGCCCTTGGATCACGCTGCAGCTCAGCCAGGTTTACAGCGGTAAGCGTCCCTCTCCGCTCCGGTCAGCTGCAGGCTTCAGAAGTACGGACTCAGGACATGGTTTAAGTCCCTGCTTGTGAATCCTATTTGGGGAAAAAAGAGGGGCTGCCTTTTCCTGAAGGTTTAGTGTTTTGAGCAGTAAGTACACCCCCATGCCACTGACCACTGCTTGTGTGGCAGGTTTTTCCCACCTTCACGTCATGCAGTTTAGCTGATGTTCCACTGACTTTATTCTAGAGAAGAACATGTTGAGGTATCCCATGAGAATTTTGGTGAGCTGTAGATGGATCTGTTTTCATCAAGACTGAAGTGAAACATATTTTCTTTGTCCTAAAGCCTTCATTATAATGAAAAGGATGTACTCCCAGCTTTAAGAGTTAAAGAATTGCCCTTATCAGCTCTTCCTACATATTGGATGAGGCTTTGAGCATCCTGGGCTGGTGGGAGGTGTCCCTGCCCCTGGCAGGGGGTGGCACTGGATGGGCTTTAAGGTCCTTCCAACCCAAACCAGTCTGTGATCCTATGAGAAGACTTCATGTTCTAGCCTCAGCTGCCTCAAGAGCTGTTGGCTTCCAGTGGCTTCGAGGCATTGGCAGTTCACCAGCGCTGGAACCTGCTGAGCCGCTTCTGAGCAAACAGAAAGTCAGGTGCCTGCGTGGGGGGAGGGTCAGGAATGAAGGAGCTCCCTGCTGCCTGAGCCTCTGGGCAGAGCAGGAAATCCCCGGTGCTGCCCGGCCGCAGGCAGCGGGACCAGGAACGCTGGGAGTCCCCTGGGGCAGCCTGCAAGGGTGACGCTGCCCGAACACCCCAGGCAGGAGGTAACCAGAGCCCCCGCCACGGGAGGGCTGCTGCCGGAGACCTGCGGGGAGCTGTCTGGGTGGATTAACTACAGCTGCATCCAGGAGGATGCAGAGGGATAGTGCTGAGGAGAAGGTAGAAAGTGAAATAGCAAAATGCGAGAGCCTGGACCTCCCTATGGGGAGGCTGCTGGGGTTCTGGGAGCGGGCTGTGCAGCGTCGG